CGCACGTAATGTGAAAATACTTGAGTAACAAGTACCTCCTGTCCATTGGCATTTTGTCCTTAGTTATTGTCTTGTAAATATTCTATATCACATGTGTCAAACTCAAGGCCCGGGGGCCAAATCAGGCCCTTGGTGGATTTAATTTCGGCCCGCAGGATAATTTCTAATTCCTATTAGATCTGGCCCTCCGGTATATTGCACGCACACCTTCACTCCATCCTGAGGGTCTCCTCAGCTCAGAGCCTGAGCCCAAACATTGATGACCTTGCACCCAAGATGAGATGCCAAGTATCTGAACTAGCATCACGAGCAGCACACTGAGTTTAATGGATGTTTCCTTCTGCACTTTCTCTCTCACGTCAACAGGGCATGTTTGGTTTTCTCTTTGAGGGAAATAGTTTTGTTGAAGCTGTTGTTGGCCTGTGGGAAAATGTAATCATAAGAAATGACTCTGGAAAAGCTGCAGATAGAGCCATAAGAAATGAATGAACTGATTATTTAATGTTTAATGTTGTTTTTATAGGCAATAATTTAAGCTTTGTTAGTTCCAGGTTTAATATGTGCAATAAGTTCATTTCAATAAGTTCTGCAATAAACATTGAACCAGTCCGGCCCTCCACTAGTACCCATTTTTTAATTTTGGCCCACTGTGTGTTTGAGTTTGACCCCCCTGCTCTAGTGTGTACTTGTCTCCACTTGTCCTGTAACAAAACAATACCAATTCAAATCTTTGGACTAATCACTTCTTGTCTCTGTCCCTGCAGAAACCGTCCATCATGCATCAGCAGTAGTCCGTCCTCTCCACCCCCCTCCCCTCACTCAGAGCAGTGTGTCCCCCCCTCCTCCCCCCCTCAGTGCCTGGCCTACCTGCCCAACCTCTCTCAGCCCTCTCTGGTGATGCTGTACCAACCGGAGACAGAGGAGAGGAGGAAGAGGAGGAGGGAGGAAGAGGAGGGGGCGATGATGAAGAGGGGAAAGATGGGGTTAGAAGAAAATGAACAGTCTTGCAGTGATGTAGCAGAATCAACGGACACTAAGACCCCCGACCGGACGTTTAACGAGAGTCTGGGGGTCAGCAGCAGCTGTGAGCAGCCGTCACACTACCTCTACGTGCCCAACCACGCAGGTACACACACACGCAACACTTCTAATCCTGAGAGAGGGGCTTTTAGTCCCGGTAACATCGTAGTTAACGTGTTTTTAATACTCTCCCCTCCTCTCCAGGTCTGAACAGCTTGAACTTCTTGCTCTCTGGGGGTCACCCTCTCTCTGGGGGTCTCTGTCTCTCTGGGGGTCACCCTCTCTCTGGGGGTCTCTCTCTCTCCGGGGGTCACTCTCTCCCCCCCACTGTTCCCACTCTGGCTCTCCCCTACGTCCTGGTTCCCTCGTCTCACTTCAGCCTCCCTGCTCACTTCCTGGTGGGGGGGGCGGCGTACGGCCTGGCGGGGTCAGAGGTCAGCAGGTCACTGACATCGCCCTCCACTCCTGAGCAGAGACAGAGTGTGAACATCAGCACAGCAGAACCACTGGTGAGACGTCTCTTCAGAATCACCACAGTATTTGTCCCACAGAGGGGAAGTCTTCATTTGTTACAGCAGAAAGGGTTTTTAAGAAGTATAGTTTGTTTGTTTGTTCACCATTTAAAGGCCTTGGGTCCCTTGAAAGGGGCTGTACAAATGTAATCTATTATTATTATTATTATTAGAAAAAAGCCAAAGAAAATATTAAAGATTACAAAAGAAGAAAAAAATTACACAATTTACAAATACACATCCTGTGCCACTCATCAGTTCTTGACTCTGACACACACACACACACACACACACACACACACACACACACACACACACACACACACACACACAGACACACACACAGACTTATCCTAACCTTAACCATAACCAACACATGCCTAACCCTAACCCTAACCAAGTCTTCACCCTAAAATTAATGATTCCCCTTATGGGGAGCGCCTCGTCCAGAGTAGGGGTGGAAGGGGGAGGTCAACGCGACGGAATGGACCGGTTGGAGAAGATCGGGAAAAGAACCATACGAACATAGGTTGGCCTCTAGTCTCCTCCTCCCCCTCTCTCACTCCTCTTCTCTCCCCCGTACTACTTCTCCCCTTTCTACCCCAATCTTCTTTTACTTGTCAGAACGTCACTACATCGTCTTAGTTGCCTGTGATTCTGGGGGCTGGCCTGCAAATTGCTCTCAGACCCCCAGTCGTCGTCGACACTCGTCGGCAGTGTGATGGAGATGCACGGGTTGGTGCGTCCATGTGTGTGTGCGTTGTGAAGATTAGGACTCTCTCCCCGAAAATCAGGGCCATTGTAGCATCAATTGCACAAAAATTATGAGAGGGGAGGAGAGGTCCAGACTTGTCGAACTTGAAGAACGAGAGACCCCCAGTGGGAGAGAGACCCCCAGAGACAGAGAGACCCCCAGTGGGAGAGAGACCCCCAGAGAGAGAGAGGCCCCCAGTGAGAGAGGGGGGGTGACAAGGGTGAGACCGAGAGGGGATGCAGGACCAAGGGAGCAGAGTGAAGTCGGAGGGACGAGTGAAGGACCACCCCCCCCGCCGCATGCCGGACCGCCCCAGTCTCCAGTCGTCCAGTGACTGTAGCGGGAGGTGAGGACTCGTCTCTGTCTCACACTTGTAGTCGTGTCGTCTTGGTGACCACTCTGCAGAGAAGTCTTAGTGGTGTCATAAACAGGGTGTCTCCCCTTCAGAAGTAAACAATGTCGTCTTTCCCAAAAATTCTTCATATCAAACAAACAAACAAGTGGTAAATTTCCGGAACCCAGGGAACTTTCCCCGACATGTTTACATTAGATAATAATAATAATAATAATCTTTTTTCGGTTTCTTTTATAATTTCTAATGTTTTCTTCTTTTTTTAATGTGTTAAATGTTTATGTGTAGGACACGGTGAGTAGTCAAGAACTGAGACTGTGTGTGTGTGTGTGTGTGTGTGTGTGTGTGTGTGTGTGTGTGTGTGTGTGTGTGTGTGTGTATGTGTGTGTGTCTGAATAGGATTGGAATTGGTATTGGTTGTGTACGGATTGGGATTGGGATTGGTTCAGAAGTGGGATTTTAATTACTAAGGGGAATACCCCTGAGGAATAAGGGTAATTTCCCCCTCCTCCCTCAGGGGGTGCACGCTTGAACACATTGCTAACATCCAGGTGTTCATATTATTACTTATCCTGTGTCGGTGTGTTGTGTTGGTGTTAAATTTATGAGTTATATAACTCATAAATTAACACACAAACACACACACACAAGGATATATAAAATGAACCACCCTGGATTTAGCCAAATGGTGTCAGTGCGACACCCCTGAGCGGAGGAATACCCTGATTACCTCCNTCTTCTACATCAACATGTGTCCCCTCTTCTCCATGTCTCTTCTACATCAACATGTGTCCCCTCTTCTTCATGTCTCTTCTACATCAACATGTGTCCCCTCTTCTTCATCAACATGTGAAGAGAACCAGCTTCGTAGGACCGGAAACCCAGAGTTTTCCCTGAAGTTAGCCGGGTAAGAGAAAATCCTGCTTCGTAGTATACCCCCCAGATGTTTGTCTGTTGATCTGACGCATGGAGCTGCTGTGAAGCAAGTCACATTTCAGACTTGATCTGACCATTAAAGTATTATCGTATCGTATCGTAACTAACAATCTGTCTCTGCTTCCACAGACTCCTCTCACCCCGAAGGAAACCCCAACTTCTGCCTCCAAGGCGTTCTTCCAGACGCCGGGAACTCTGGGAAATGTAGTCAGCGCCGCGCCAGTGGCCAGAAAGAGAGGCTCAGCTCAGAGGAGGCTGGACGTCGGACATCCTCCAGCCAGTTAGGCAGACTAGATGTTTTAACACTCAGGTTGATCTTTAAAAATGCTTTTAAACCATGTGTGTGTTGTAAAATGAAAACATATTTTACTAAACATTCACTATTTCCTAAAAATAACTCAAGTTATTTTTGCATTTTTGCTCATTTCTATCAAATGCTGGGGACTTCATTCTTCAATGAGTGAAGCATTATTGCCAAAATAACAGTGCCCTCCTGTGGTGGGAGTGTGCCACTGCTGTATTTAAATGTGTAATATTTTTTTGCATTTATTCCCCCCCCCCCCTTAGACATGATCAGGCTACCTAATTCCCTGTATTACAAGCCCAATTGATATTTATATTATCGCCAATATGTGTGGATTACAGGGACTGTAACGGAGCATTTTTATTAAGCACTATCTGACTGAACGTCGGATTCATTTGGAGATGATTGTCGTTCGTTTTGCCCCTTTTTTGTTTTGTTAAATTATCACGGTATAAATCTATATCGTAGACAATCCTATTCGGGATCATTTTAAAAAACCACTGTGGAGAAAATCACTACAGCCTTAAAGTGTTTGGACTTTTTGATGCATTAACGGTTTAACACCGAACCCTTCATTAGCTATAAACGTCGACTGAAGGACGCTGCTCTCAGGTACTTGAATACTTTACTAGATGTGAATTTTGGAGCGATATCAAAGTACTGTAAAAGACTGTTTGAAGGTATCCAGGGAAAGCAGACATTTTGGGTTTAAAGCCTTGAAATCTGGATGCTTTTGAGACCAAATAATCCTCTGACCTGTGGATGTGTATTCATTCAAATGTCATTATTTTACATTGTACTCAAAGAGTCCTTTTTACCTTTCCATGCAGAATGTTACATGCTGCTTCACCGTGTATGAAATTATGACTTTTGCACTGCTAGATTTAGTAGTTTGTCTTTTAATTTGAACAAAAGCTGCAACTGTGTGAGCTCTTTTGAACCACTTTCACGCACTCATTAAAAATGTATGATGTGACCAGTGTGTGTGTGTGTGTTTGTTCTCATTAAAGGAAATGTGACCATGTGCAGATTTAACCAAATGCTTTTATAATCCTATTTCTAAGATGTAAGAGCAACTTCTACTTTTTAGGATTAATTATGCCATTTGGTTTCAATGGAAAAATGATCTTATAGATTTATTAATTTAATTAAGAAACCACAGCGTTCAATGTGTGGTATCCCAACAAGACATTTAATTAAAGAGGGACATACAATAAATGCTACCTCAGCATTATTAGTGTTAAACCATTACTAGAGAATACACCCCCCTGTGAGGGTAGTTTGAAACTCTTCAAATATGTTCAATAACTAGCATTAAAGAATCTAAAAGTAACATTTTATATATATATAAAGAATGTTTTTAATTAAGGTCATAATTAATTTGAGATCACGAGAAAACGATGTTTCATACATTAACTGGAATAATACATGTGTCCCCTCTTCTTCTTGTCTCTTCTACATCAACATGTGTCCCCTCTTCTTCATGTCTCTTCTACATCAACATGTGTCCCCTCTTCTTCATGTCTCTTCTACATCAACATGTGTCCCCTCTTCTTCATGTCTCTTCTACATCAACATGTGTCCCCTCTTCTTCTTGTCTCTTCTACATCAACATGTGTCCCCTCTTCTTCATGTCTCTTCTACATCAACATGTGTCCCGTCTTCTTCATGTCTCTTCTACATCAACATGTGTCCCCTCTTCTTCATGTCTCTTCTACATCAACATGTGTCCCCTCTTCTTCATGTCTCTTCTACATCAACATGTGTCCCCTCTTCTTCATGTCTCTTCTACATCAACATGTGTCCCCTCTTCTTCATGTCTCTTCTACATCAACATGTGTCCCCTCTTCTTCATGTCTCTTCTACATCAACATGTGTCCCGTCTTCTTCATGTCTCTTCTACATCAACATGTGTCCCCTCTTCTTCAT